CCTTTAAATCTGTTTTTATACCTCTTGATAACATTTTGACAACTTAATAATGTAGACACATTTGAATATAAGAATTTATATAAGAAAATTCCTCTATTGCAAATCAAATGCAACATTATGCACTTTAAGAATTGACAATAATTGAAAACTCAAGAAAACAAATGAGGACAAAGTGCTGAGAATGATTTGAGCAACAATAATCTTGTAAGTAAGCGAGATACAATTGAGAATTTTACAGTCGTTCCATAGTCTGCCTGGACAAAAACAGCGGATGGATAGGTTGAACACGCGCGGATCTGCTTCCGTGCGGTTACTTAGCATTGGGGCGCTTTTTTGCGCGCATTAATGCCAGTTAGCCGCTTGCAGCAGTGGTATCTGTGCGTTTAGGAAAGTAGTGTGGTAAAAACGATTCAAAAAACAGAATGATTCAGACAAATTACAACATCGTATGTTGTGACAAAAATTATTGAAAAGACAAGACAAGAGGAAGTAGATGGAGAATATATGGCGATATTGCCCTGAATTTCAGGATTTTCGCGGAATCGATATATGGGAAATAGCAGTGCTAGAAAAAGGCGCTAACAAACTCGTTTTTTTTTTGGCTGCATGCCCATCTTACACGATTGGCAGGGTAGAAGTAGATACGAATTTTGCCACCAAGCATCGCCTCCGCGGACAACTGGTCCTTACGCAATATGCTATAGCATATGCAAAAAGACCAGTAGTCCATGAAGGCGGCGCCCATCGCCGGAATTCGCTCCTGTGCCCTGAGTGACACTGCTATCTCCCAAATTTCATGTAAATTACAAAATAGCGCAATTCGTAGCAATTATCATAAGGTAAATGATATAGCCCGTTGCTACAGCGGTTTCATAAAGCACAGGATAAAGGAGTAATTTGTAGCAAACGCTGAGATAGAAGTCGAGTATGCATTATGTACAAGCAATGGACTAGTAAACCATTGGCAAAACTTCTGTGGCTCAAAAAATTCCAGAAGTTTCGCCGGATTAGACTGAAGATTGATGATATGTGGGGAAGGATTGTACTGTGTACTCGACGGGTGTCGTTTGCGTATAGCCGGATGGTCCCTGGAAATAGATATGATAGTTTTTGAGTATATCAATGGGAAAATTCCGAAGCTCTTTAAATTAAATAAAAAATAAACATCTTTTGAGCTAGAAATTCATTGTTTATTTTCCTCTAAATTTCTTTTCTAAGGTCCCTTTCCTTTCACTTTTGATCGGTAAAAAAGCAGGATGCCTTCAGTCTGTGCCAGTGGCGATCTGAGCATTTTTTGGAAAGCGCGAGCGGAAGTTTTCCGAGTCATGGGCACTGGTGTTACCTTGCCTCCAAAGAATCAAATGCTCCTTATCATTTCTACAGGACTATAACCCCAAATTTTAATAAGGGAAGGGGACGTGACAGTCACTTCCCCATTCTTGCAGATTGTGACTTCTCTAAAAGATCAGCTTGCATAGGGTTTTACAAGTAAAAGCCACTTGCCCATTTTTATAACTAATCGCATTCTTACGTTAAGTTGGGTGTACTGTGTCGGGTCAGGAACTTTACATGTGGTGTAGCTCACAAAAGATTATCTGACATGCTGATCAAGGTTCTCATAATCTACTCATCGCGGTAAAGTATTGTGGGAACATGGGTGGATTTCGATACCATGAACTACAGCAACCACATCGTAAGGCCCTACCGTAAAAAATGATATGATAGTTGTGACCAGCATTACAAATAGATTTTTTACACAAAATTACGGCGAATGCTGATGGTTATAAGGCCAACCGTATACTTGCCGTATACCTGCCGTAACTACATAAATGGCCTACCGAACATTTTTCTTGTCTTGTGATTAGCATGTCAAATTACCTCTCTGTGCAAAGATGGAGAAAGTTTTTGAAGGCGACAGGCAAATTCGACCCTTCTCGGATTTTAATGGAGTAGGTAGTCCTCCAAGGTATACCGTAGCCCAAACCGTACCTGCCACATGCGCTAAGTCCTAAAATTGCTTCAAAATTCCATCAGCCCCCCTCCCTTCCACTGAGTGGGCGTCATGGGAGGAGTATTTGAAGCGTTTTTTCAGGACTTAGCGCATGAACTGGCAGGTGGGGTTTG